ACCGGACCGGGATCGGAACCGGGACTAACCGGACCGGGACCGGAACCGGGACTAACCGGACCGGGACGGACCGGTAAATCCCGATTTCTGTCCCGTTACCCCTCCCGGATCGGAACAATTCCGGATTTAACCGGTACTATCCGGAACCGAGACGGAACCGGTAACGGACCGAAACGGACCGGAACCGGTATCGGTACCTCCCGGTTCCGTTGCCAGTCATACTCTAGAGGTATTCATTGACGACTTTTCAGTGGTAGGTGATATCTTTGATGACTGTTTGCTCAACCTTAGTAGGGCTTTACAGAGATGTAAGGAGGCCAATCTAGTGCTGAATTGGGAGAAGTGCCATTTCGTGGTCAAGGAAGGCATAGTCCTTGGTCATAAGGTGTCACAAAAGGGATTAGAGGCCGACAAGGCCAAAATTGTGGTGATGAAAATTTGCCTCCGCCTATTTGTGTGAAGCGTGTTCGAATCTTCTTAGGACATGCCAAATTCTATAGGCATTTCATCAAGGACTTCTCAAAAATTGCACACCCCTTGTGCAAGCTTTTGGAAAAGGAGGTGAAATTTTCTTTTGATGAGGCATGTCTCAAAGCCTTCGAATGCCTGAAGGAGAAGTTGATTTTTGCCCCAGTGATCATTGGCCTAGATTGGGCTGAACCATTTGAGGTAATGTGTGATGCTAGTGGTACTGCTCTAGGAGTGGTGTTAGGGAAAAAGCGCAACAAGATATTTCATCTGATCTATTATGCTAGCAAGTCACTAAATGGAGCATAGTGAAACTGCACAGTCACTGAACATGAGCTACTGGTTGTGGTGTATGCTTTCAAGAAATTCAGAGCTTACTTGTTGGGTACTAGAGTAATAGTCCACACGGATTATGCAGCTCTGAGATACCTCATGGCAAAGAAAGATGCCAAACCAAGGTTGATCAAATCGGCGTTGCTATTTCAGGAGTTTGATTTTGAGGTTAAGTATAGGAGAGGTTGTGAAAACTAGGTGGCTAATCACCTGTCTAGGTTGGAGGCTGAAAATAAAGAGGAACTTGAGCTCGAAATCAATGATTCATTCCTGGATGAGCATGTATTAGACGCTACTCTTGATCTTATTCCTTGGTTTGCTGATTTTGCTAACTTTCTTGTTAGTGACTTGATGCCTGAGGGGCTGACATTTCAGTAAAAGAAGAGGTTCCTACATGATGTGGGTAAATATTTTTTGGATGAACATTATTTGTACAGGGTGTGTGCTAATAATATCATTAGGCGATGCATCCCTAAAGCTGAAATGTTGCACATTCTAGAGGCATGTCACTCTTCTCTAGTAGGTGGCCATCATGGAGGCGCTCGGACAACTCACAAGTTACTTCAGTGTGGGTACTACTAGCCTAAAATTCATCAGGATGCGATGGACATAATAAGGAGTTGTGTTGTGTGCCAGCGGCAAGGAGCCAGCTCACGACGCCACGAGTTACCCATGACACCTATTCTGGAGGTGGAGCTATATGATGTGTTGGGAGTTGATTTCATGGGCCTATTTGTGAGCTCCTATGGGAAGAAGTATATATTGGTGGCAGTGGACTATGTATCCAAATGGGTTGAGGCAGTTGTTTTTCCTAAGAATGATGGCAAGAGTGTTGCTGGCTTTTTGAAGAAAAATATCTTCTTAAGGTTTGGCACACCCAGATCCATTATCAGTGATGGCGGTTCCCATTTTTGCAACAAGGTATTCAGCGCGCTTCTGGCCAAATATGGGGTTAAACAGCACAATGTGGCAACACCTTATCACCCACAGACTAGTGGCCAAGTGGAGGTGTCCAATAGAGAAATAAAGGCAATTCTGGCTAAAATAGTGAATGCCAACAGGACAGATTGGGCACGAAAGTTAGATGATGCTCTATGGGCATATCAGACAGCTTTCAAGACGTCTATTGGTGTGTCTCCATATCAATTGGTGTTTGGAAAGGCATGTTATTTGCCGATTGAGCTTGAGCACAAGGCACTCTGGGCTTTGAAGAAGCTGAATCTTATTTGGGGTGAAACAACAAACTTGTGATTGGATCAGATTAATGATACAGGTGAGTTCCGTTTGAGAGTGTATGAGAGGTCTGCACTATACAAGGAGAGGATGAAGTTGTATCATGATAAGCATATTGAGAAGAGAACCTTCACCCCTGGTGATTTAGTGTTACTTTTTAACTCTAGACTTCGTCTGTTTCCGGGGAAGTTGAGATCCAAATGGTCTGGCCCTTTTAAAATGACCCAGGTGTTCCTGTCGGGTGCTATTGAGCTTGATGATGAAAAAGGTGAGAGGCTCAAGGCCAATGTCCAGCGAATCAAGGCATACTTAGGTGTCATGAAGATGTGAAAATAGTAGAGGAATGTAAGCTTGATGAAGTCTGAGTAATCAAGTAACCTGCGTCGCGCCGCGATGTTAAATTGTACGATGCTTGGGAAGCAACCCAAGATTGTAATTGTAATAGGTAGTTTCATTTTTCTTTGTTTTATAGAGTCACTATGTGTTGATGCGTGCAGGAAGGATTTGGACTAAGAATTGAAGAACTGGAAAGGAAGCCCTTCACGAGCAGTCCTACGGACCGTGGTGCGCAACTTCATGGCCCATGGCAAGCACCTACAGGATATGAAGGTTACTGGAAATTGGTTCACGGACGGTCCGTCAGACTTTGTACGGACCATCTAGCCTCTCGTGAACGTCAGGTAAGTGTTGCTTTGCTAAGTTATGTTCACGAACCCCTATACGAACCATGTTGCCCGTCACGGGCAACTTCATGGTCCGTCGTCCCTAACCCGGAAGGTCTAAAAACCGACCCGACCCACGCGTTTTAAAGGATTATGATGCGATGTATTTAGTTCTTTTCAAGTGCCAAGGGTGAAATATCTCACATTCTCTCTTCCATAACGGTTACACACAGTATATAAAAAAGAGAAGGGGTTTTCAACATCCATTAATTCCATAATTCTTCCTAAATTTGAAACCCTAATCTCTTGTGTCAAGAACTTCAAGTCAGAATTCATCTTACTCTTTTTGGGTGAAATTTCCCTTACTTCCAAGTAAGTCACTTCATAACTTGTTATAAGTTTGATCTTGTCTAAAAACAAGTTAGATTTGCTTCGCTTTAGTCGAGTTTAACATGATTATGTGATGAACTATCTTGGTTGGTATTGCATTATTTGGGTTAGTGTGAATTGGGTAAATTTGATGATTCTATTGTGGGTATTATGAGGGTATGTGCGTATTGGATGAATATTAATTCTTGTTGGCATTTTGTTTGATGAAAGTTAGTGGTGTTAGTAGTCACGTTGTAAACACAAAAGCTAAAACTGTAGCACAGGAAGAGGCATGTGCAGTAGGAAAAGATGAAGAGATCACCACCGATGACACTATGGTGCAATATTTGAACATCCATGAAGTTGATCCTGTAGCGAGACAACAACTGATTGACTGTTTCCGCTCTATGTGGACTGTGGAAAGGTGCGAGGACTGCTTTAATAATGGGATTGTCAACAAGTCTAGCGGCTTCAAGAATAGACAGATCATGCCTGAGACCAGAGTGGAAGAGGCTGATATCAAAGCATTCCCTAATATTTATCGGATATTTCAGTTTCATCAGTTTGACTGGATGAACAATGCACCTGGAGAATATTCTAGCCACCTGACCAGAGAGTTTTATTCGTCTTATGCAGCCACACTGATGAATTTTGTTGCGACACGGAGACAACTAAACGGGGGAAGAAAGACATTACCAGTACTTGGGGTCCACTCAACTCAATTTTGGTTCGGGGTAAATCTACAAATTTAACCAATTTCTTCAACCCATTAAAATACCATTTTTGAGTCCTAATTTCGTATCAATTACAGCCCAACTTCAGCTAGCCCCTACTCTTAATTCCAGAAAACCCCGACCCCGCCCACTCATATTTCAGCAAAGAAACCCAAAAGCTTCCAACAATACAAAAGCAAGCGACGCCAACAGCAACATTCCCAAACGACGCTCAACGTTCACTAGCAATGTTCATCTCCAAATTGTGTCAGCATGGCATTGCAATTGCAACATTTGCAACAATAATGGAGCAGTGAGGTCAGTACACATCGTCAAGAAGGAGAGATACTGTGTCGATTCAGCAAATTCAAACGATGTTCGAATACAAAGTGAAGCAAACGACACAACGCAATTGCGCCTCACTCGCGTTGAAATCATAGCGAGTTCACAGAAGTCACATGTCGTGTATCGTCTTCCCCAACGTCTCAATAGTTTAATTCGTACAGGTTTTCAGTAGAGCTGGCTGCGAAATTCATCCTTGTCATGCAAGATTGCTCCACGTCAATGGACAAGGATGCTCGAGTTGATTAAGTCATTCACCTCGTCACTTCACTCACCCGATTTTTTTGATTTTGGAATCGAGATGGGATATTCTTATCCTTGAAGGGGAATTTCGAAGGATAATTAAAAATTTGGCCCTCATTCTTATTAAGTTTTCACCCTTTTCCCCCAAAAAATCAACCCTAATTCATCCTCTATATATAGCCCATTTCCCTTCTTTGTAAGGGTTGGTTGATACGCTCAAATTACACCTCCCTAAAGAAGCATAAGCGATCGTTATCAAGTAAAGAACCCAACTTGTAGGTTGGGGTCGATCCCACGAGGAAACTGGTTTAGACTTAACTTTAACTTAAACCTATATTCGTTTAGTCAAAGTACTTTTGGAAACAAGTAATAAAAAGGGGGGATTTGTGAAACAAATTGTAAGAATTCAGTAAGTAATAAGTAAACAAAAGTCAATTTTTGTTGTTATCAAGATGAGAAAATTAACTAGGGTATACGTGTTCACCACAAGCTCATAACTCAGTAATCCTAGTAATAGAAATCATGTCCTAGTGTATTACATGCAAAGTGATAAGTTAGGTATCTCTAAATCCTTGATCCGGCATCTAGAGAATTTCACCCCGCACCTTGGTCCGGCTACGTGTGTATAATTTACTAACCCTTACCTTTACCTCATATTAGACATCATAATCGATGTTTGGCTTAGTTATTACTTCGCACCAATCGACACTAGCCTATTAGATAGTATCACACTAAATCTATGTTGATAATTCTTTTCTTGTTGATTACCTCCTTGGTCCGGCAAGTAGCAACAAGGCAAGTTCTAACGCGTGCACTCGTTAAAAAAACTTTTGAACGAAAGAATTGTCAATGCATGTAAAACACTATTCAAGAATTGCTTATTTACTATTCATACTTTGTTAATCACTCATGGATCCCACAACCCTAGTTGTGGAGTTTAGTTACCCATAATCATATGAACACAATTCATTGTTTTAGATGAAAGAATTATGAACTTACGTAAGTTGAGAAAAATAAACCCAGAAATTCAACTCAAATTTCAAACCAAATCTTCAAAACGAACCTTCGGAAATCAAGAATTGCTCGGGTAGAAAATTAGTTCCCAAGTCACAAAGTAAAACAAAAGTAATAAAGTCTAACCCCCCAAAAACGAGGTTTACATGCCCTATTTATAGAAAAACAAGTCCTAAATTAAAAGGGAAACAAATTAAGGAAAGTGTGTTCAGGCACGCGTCTTCATTCCACGAGACCGACTCACGGACCGTCAATGGATCTACAGTCCGTAAGTCCCTTCCGTCAGCCAATAATTAGAAAATATTTCAGTCTCCAAAAATCAGCTTCTCTGAAGCAAACGACGGACTTGCAATACGGACCGTAGATCGATCTACGGTCCATCAATCCCCTTCCGTAGCTCCACACTTGGAATCTTCAAAAATCAGGTACTGGAGCCCTCGTAGTATCAATCTACGGATCAACAGTACGGTCCGTAGATCAATCTACGGACCGTCAATGGCCACCATGGTTCCACACTCTGTCAGATTTCCCTGATTTGCCTTTCATACCTTGCCTGCTGATCTACGGCCATCACCTACAGAGTGTCACTGGACCTACGGTCTGTAGATCACCTTCGTAGATGCCCTTTCTGCAGTTATTTTAGCTGTCCCTTCACTTCCGCGCCTGAACGTCTTTCCTGCAAAATATGATGAAAACACATAAAAACCAATCCAACAAGGCCCTACACACACAACTTGTAAGTGAAATGTATTAGAAATACCGTAAACTCACGGTATATCAACACCCTCAACTTAAATTCGTT